CAGAAACAGATATAAGGAAGAAATAATAAAATATCATAATTCCAACTCTCAAAATTAGGAGATCACCACTGTAGCTGTGTGCATTTTAGGCATCATTTAAGAAACATCTCAAAAGTCTAAATTAAATTTTTTAACAAAAAAAGTTAGCTACAATAGAGTTCTGAATGTTTACCCAGGTTCAAAATGAAGATGATTAGCTCCATTGAGAGAAAATTCTTTCTGCTATGTCTGGGGGGAATGGAATTACTTTAAATTGTTTTAAGTCTCTAAAATTTTATTTCAACTTCTTAAAAAAAAATAGAGAGGCAGATTTGGTGTGAGGAAAACATGAGATCAAGTTTTGCTGCTGATATATAATAATAGCTATATGACTATAGGAAAATCACTTAAGATTTTAAGTAGCAGGCAAGTTGTCAATCTCCATCAGTGGATAAGAGTTTTCACACAAGGAAGTCCTCACACTGATAAAACCAGAGGCCTACCTCCCCACCCCCCAAAAGAAAACTCATTCTCTCTTTTTTGTTTTAAGAACAGGACCTATCATATACGTAACTATTATATATGTGTATATATGTACATAAATAATTGATTGTATATACAATTTAGTTTTATATATACATAATTTTATTGATGAGATTTATAATACGCTCACTTGCCATTTCCTCACAATACATGACATACCATCTGCTGTGTCCATGTGCCACTGGGTCCCTTCTGTGAAACCCCAGCACCTTTCACCGCTGAGGTATCACCCCCTGCAAGAATCTCTTCCTGATTCCCCTAGGTTTTAGTACCCTGCCCTCCCAAATCACTTTGTATTGATTTTATATTGGTCATGTCTTTTCATGTGAACATGTTATATCCACTAAGTAGAATGTAAGTTGCTGAAGGGCAAAGACTGTTTCACTTTTCTATTTTATGCCCAGCATGTAGCACAGTGCCTATATGCTATAGGGATTTAATCAGTGCTTTCTGATCGCATGGCTATTGTAGGGTCCTTAAATATCCTCCCTTCTTCGGTGACAAAAGTCTATGCTTATTCTATGGAACCAGGAAAGTGTTCAACAAAAGAAGTATCTCCTGGGTCACTGCCCAGGTGTAGCAGTGTAGGAATTCTCTCTAAAGAAAGGGATTAGGGCAAGAAATTCAATTCACTATAACCTAGGGATGGCATGGGACTGATGAATCTAAATGCCGAGGATCATCATGAGCCTTTCCTGACTCTCTTTTCTTTCTAGTTTCCTTATGATAATTAGGATAAGAAAAACTGGTTTTTAAAAGCCCTTTCTCTGACTCCAGTAAGACCCCTTAGTAACTAACTGTATGTCCAAGTGATGTCACTTTCATTAGGGACAGGAAAACAGAGATATCTGAAATGTAACAGTAACATACATGAGGATGCTTCTCTATGTATTGAAGATATTGAGCAAATGACAGCAACAACAAGTAAAACATAATCAGGGAGCTGGAAGGGTCCTTGTGAGAGGCACTGTAGTGTGGCTGAAATAGTATTAGACTTGGAATTAGGAGAATCCCGCATTCAAATCTCACCAGTATACTAGCTGTGCCTAGCAGTGCCTAGCAAAGAGTAAGCACCTAATAAATACTTGATTGATTGGCCATGAACAAGTCACTTTATCTTTCCAAGCCCCAGTTTCCCTAGTCATAAACAGGAATAATCATTAATGAGATATAACCTCTATGAAGACTTCTCAGGGTGGTGATGAAAAGACTGTCTCAAAACTAGAGATAGGCTCAGAGAGAACCAACAGGCCATAAGTTTAAATTACCTAAACCTATAGGAATTCAGCCCTAAATCCCCTCCTGATTGCCACTGCCACATCAGCATTAGGTATACTAAATAAGGACATGTATGTTTGGATTGGCTATACCCTGTTTCCTTTTTCTTTGTCTTTGGGAATGGGAAAGATTTTCGCACCTAGAATGTAAGCTCGCCTCCCAGGAAATGGGAAGAAGGGACAGTGGTGGGTGGGAGTTTGTTTGCCTTAGGGTATATAACCTTGCTTTGTCCTCTGTGCCTCACCTCTCTCCTGCTGGTAGTGTACTTGCTGGTAGTGTACTGGAGGAGCAGATGCCCCTTCTCACAAGATTGTAACAATTGTAATAAAAAAGTAGCTTTTGCTTCCACCTTGAGAAGTCTCTGAATTTAATTGTGTTAGAGTCGCGGTACCACACAATCATACTTGTAGTAACTACTTTACAAAGATGATTACAGGATCAAATGAGATGATTTATGTAAAGCACTTTGTACATTAAGAGCAGTATTGGAATAGAGAGGTCTGCTCTGGTGATTTCAAACTCCCTCTATCAATTTCAGCCAGCCCCTTCACAGCAACTTTTGGTCTTGGCTCAGTGGTGTTGTTGAGGTTTAGGGATTTAGGGGTACTGGGACCCCAAAATCATAACACATAGGTCCTGCCTGAAAGAATTTGATCCAAGCCTTCTTTCAGCCAAAGACAAGGTTTATTAGAATATCTGTCATATTGGGCAGACTCTTAAGGAATCTGAGCAGTGGCTAGATTATAAAAATCAGAGCTTAATAGAGATAAGATGGACCTTATATACAGAAAGACTGTGGGAGTGACCTAGGAGTGGCCAAGTAGTTTGGGGTGACTGGAGGAGGAGTCTAAGGAGGATCTGGATGGCAGTGGCCAGTAAACTGGAGTGAACAGAACTCCTGGGACCTATACCACATGGCCAAGTGGGAATGGAGCCTAGCTAACATGAAGGGTAGGAAATGGCCGGGAGTAGGGAGGTAAGACAATGGAGGGCTAGGCTAGGTTAAGGCTAACAGAGAATTGGGAGATTGTGTGTAGTCACAATGAAAGGCCAATTGATGGGATTATTGCCTCAAGTGAACAAAGATTTGGCCACATGAGAAAGTCCAGGGTTTTTCCTTTCTGGGGTCCAGATCCCAACCCCATCAGTGAGAGGGTGAGTGACTTGGCCCAGGACCACACAGCTAGTGTGGGTCGGAGGTGGGACATGAACTAGGGTTTTCCTAACTCAAAGGCCAGCTCTCTTACACACACACACACACACACACACACACACACACACACCTGATCATAAAATCTTACATAAATTGTTATTGTGATGATGATGATGATGATGAAGATGATCTATCCTCTCATTTTACAAGAAGAAGAAATGGAAGCCCAATTAAGGTTAAGTAATTTACCCAGGTCACAAAGCCAGCAAATGGCAAACTCTGAACTAGGACTCAAGGCCAGACTCCAAATCCAATGCTTTTTCCACGTTAGAAGTTAACCTTTAAGATTTAAAGGATCTCCAAAATTCCTGAAGTACATTTTAAAACCTTTCTTAAAAACATTTAAAGACAGCCAGATAATAATTCTCCTTGTGTCTATTCTAATTCTATGGAACCAGGAAAGAGTTTGGTAAAAGGATAATTCTAACAACTTATCCCCAGTAACTGTGCCTTCAGGCTATAAAATTCAACACTAGTGGAAAACAAAAGGCCTACAATTACGGGTGACAAACAAGTCACTATAGCAATAGCACTGGTTACATTTGGAAGGAGGAAGAGAAGGCAAAGTTAAAAAGCATAGACTAGCCAGTCTTCCTAACATGGTTGAAATTTTTGTTTTAAAGGAAATTTTGATAAAATGAAAACTCACAGTCCTCTGAGCCACCCTTTTCTGGTAACCTAATAGAAAGGGGATTCTGCCATCACTGAATATCTGTAACACTGTGCTCTGTCCCTCTGTTTGACAACAGACTGCGAGAGATTAGTTTACACAGGGCACCTCAGTAACATCTCAGAGCATGGGTTTAGAAAAGCTAGCTCTTAGAGGTCCATCTTCAGCAATTCTGAACATTAAGCAGTTATAGGAGACCTTATCACATCTATTTTCAGAAGCGTCAGGTTTCAGTTAGACCTACAACCACAAAGTCAATCTGCTCTCATTTGATTATACAGCACTTTGTATTCCTCCTATGCAGTCAATTATAACCCTTTTTAATGATTACTGTGTCTAGTACTAACATCATCTCCCAATACCAATCTGTAATAAATGACTTTTATATAGTGCTTTACAATTTGTTATATATAAAGTATTTCATTTAACCCTCACCACAGCCTTTTCAGATATTATTATCCCCATTTTACAAATGGGGAAACTGAGGGTTAGTGAATGAAGTTAAATGGCTTGGTTGTTAAGTTATCAATGATTGCCAAATCTAATGGTCTTTTTCTCAGTCCTCATCTTACCTGATCTTTCTGCTACAATTTGACACTGTTGACTACCATGTCCTACTGGACACTTTCTCTTCTTTGACATTTATGACAGTATTCTGTCCTGGTTCTCCTCCTTCCTGTCTGACCACTCCTCAGCATCCTTTGCTGGCTCATTCTCCTTATATCACCACCTAAATGTGGGAGTTCCCAAAGTTCTATCTTGGGGTTGGTTAATCTACTCGTCTGGCTCTACGATTAATTGCCCATGTCCCCATACCTCCTGTCAAAAAGTAGAATTTGAATCTGAACTTCCTGATTCTAAGTCCAGCAATTCAGATACTAGACTACATTCCCTCCTTGTAAGATGAGATCTTTATGCCTCTCCAAGGACCTGCATAGGACCTTCCACATGGTAGGTACTTAATCAGTGTCTGATAAAACACAAAGAGTCACTTCTGGTGAACAGTCAAAAAACATTATGGCAACTTCAAAACATGTAACTATCACCCCAGTGATACAAAGTTTCCCTATACTGTGTACCAAAACAATTCACATTCAAATTCAAAATCAAACTCTTTTGTTAAGCCAAATTTAAAACAAACAAATAAGTTAAAATACTCTTCTTAGTCTGGTCTGTTTCATTCAAGGAATCATGGAATCCTTACTAAACACTGAACTAAATTCAACAACCACTTTTAAGTGCTTATTATGTGCCAGATACCAGACTGTATTAAATACGTCTCCCATAACAGGCCCCTGATTTTTTTATGATACTTGCCTCATAAGTAACAAAGTCATCAAACTCATCAGGACAGGCAGGGGAATCTTCTTGGACATATCCAATATCATACAGCTGGCTCTCAGGATCTATAGGAAAAAGAATATAGCTTTTAGTAGTTACAGTTAAGCATATGTCTTTTTGGTGTGACACTTGTATTTCCTACTCAAATATCTCATCAAAGCACAAAGATGATACCTGGGTGATTGAAGGCTTTATTAATAGAGCACAAACTTTGATATCAATTCAACAAATATGTATTAAGCACCTGCTATGTACAAGCCACTGTGATAAAAAATGAAGATACAAAGACAAGATCTAGCAAATTCCAATAAAATGGAAAGGCCTTGACTACATTATCAATAAAAACTGTTGTCTGGGGGACAGTCTCCCAGAGAGAGGCACATTACCAACATGTTGGCCACTAAGTTAGGAATTCTTTGGGCATGGCAACCATGAAATTGATAAAAATACAAAACAGCCTGGGGGCTTATATGGTCATCTTTTGCTTACACAGCAATCATTTGAAGTGTTAAGAAAAGAGGGAAGGGGCAGCTAGGTGGCGCAGTGGATAGAGCACCGGCCCTGAAGTCAGGAGGACCTGAATTCAAATTCGGTCTCAGACCAAACACTTGACACTTACTAGCTGTGTGACCCTGGGCAAGTCACTTAACCCCAATTGCCTAAAAAAAAAAGAATAAAAAAAAAAGAGGAAAGCACTAAAAAATAATAGTTTTTAGACTACCTATGAACATTTTACTGTTGGTGTTCTAAATGTGAAATCTTTGTCCAACAACTAACAAGTTGATATTTTACACGAAGAATTAAATCATAATTACATGGGCACTTTCACTATAAATGAAACCAGAAAAGCAGTTGTAGCTAAATGGAAGAATGACTCATAAGTGCTCCTTGGAAAGCAGAAAAATGGAATAGGCAGAATTGCTTCAGTATGGCCCTGAAGTTTGAGAAAAGAGGAACTTTTAACCAAGATGGATGCCTAACCAGGAGGCAGGCTGTGCAGCTCCCACATACTTACTCAAGAAAAAACTATGAAGTTCACAACAAAATCAAGTAATGGCCAATAAATCCAATGAGAAATAACAGTAAGTGAAGTCTTCTACCACAGAACTGCATAAAAAGTCACAAAGATGCCTTTAGACATCTTCAATAGGAAGGAGGGTTCCTCAAGCAACAGAAGACCCAATGAGGCCAGAAAAGGACATGGGTAGCAGGACAAGAGGGACCCCCTGAGAAAGCCCCAGGGTAGGGACCCTGAAAGCCCCAGAAAGCAATCAGCCCAGTATAGACTAATACTCAGACCCAGACAACCCAGCCCCAGGAGCTCAGAAATCCCTAACATTCTTTCATGAGACCCCTGAGAGGGCTCTAAAGATCCAGCAATCAGAAACTTAATGATCCAAGAGGGCCAAATTCCATGAGGTAGTGGTCAGTTCTGTTCTGAATGTGTGATGAGGGGAAAGAGAAGGGAGGATAAAAGGGAGAATACAGTAGTACAAAAAAGAGAAAGGGAGGGAAATTGCAATTCCTCATAAGTGAGTACATGAGAAGAATATATAAACATGAAGGAAAGAGATAGAGTGGATATTACATGAACTTAACTCTTACCTGAAATGGACAAAAGAGGGTTGAACCCACAAATCCATACACAAACATTCTGATGTAGAAATATGTCAATCTCAAAAGCGAACCAAGCTAGGAGGAAGGGTTTGAGGTAGTTAAAGAGGGAGTATATCACTGGGAAGGGCATGGGAGCAAGCAAAACAAACTGTCTGACCCTGAAAGGAGAATTAGGATGGCAGTTGAGACAGAAGAAAAGAAGTTAGAAAAAGCTAAGACAAGAACTAGAATCTATGTCAGTGCCTTGTATTGCTTCTTAGACAACTGCGGAATGACTATAATGAAATACTATTATATCTTAAGAAATGGTAAAAAGATAATTTCAGAGAATCTTGAGTAGTATGAACTGATGCACAGTGAAGTGAGCAGAACCAGAAGAACAATCTATACAAGCACAATAATACTGTAAAGAAAAACAACTTTAAACAACTGTATGTCAGCCCTTAGTATAGTGCCTAGCACATAGTAGGTATTTAATACATTATTATTGTCTGAACAACTAATTGAAAAAGACTTTAGAATTCTGAGTTAAGCAATAACCAAACCATATCTCCAGAGGACACATGATGAAGGATATTAGCTACCTCCTGACAGAGGTGATGGACACAAGGTGTTGAGACATACATTTTTATAATGGTCACTATGTGAATTCATTTTTCTTGACCATGATTATTTGTTTCGAGGGATTTTTTCTTTCTTTAGGTTAAGGGGTGGGAGAAAGATGGGATTAACAATAGTAATGTCTCACCCCCAAAAAGAGAGCAATTGTAACATTGTTAAGTGTATAGGACAGAGGGAAGTATAAATAAACAAGACAGTTTTGAAAATAAAATTGTGTGTGTGTGTGTGTGTATAAAACAAGCATATCAACTCTTTTCTATTCCTTTGTGTATGTGAAAATATTCCTTTTCTGGTATTTAAGTTCAGAATTTACAAAATAAATTTGAAAAAATAGTGGCAAGAAACATCATTTCATGGATACTTGGTAATCTCCTCTTACAGTGGTCATGGTAAGCATGGACAAGGGGACCATTAATGGAAAAAATGGTGCAGCTTATCAAACACCAAACATCTACTGCAGATATATAAGTAAAGAAATTGTATGAAAAGAATCCTGTAAAACAAGTTAGAATATACATTGATATTTGAGGACTTCAATGCAAAGATGGTCAGAGAGGAGGATGCAACTAAAAAGTTATAAAATATGGTTCAAGGGGGCAGCTAGGTGGTGCAGTGGATAGAGCTCTGGCCTTAGAGTCAGGAGTACCTGAGTTCAAATCCAGGCTCAGACACAAAACACTCACTAGCTGTGTGACCCTGGGCAAGTCACTTAACCCCACTGTCTCATTACAAAAGAAAAAGAAAATTAAATTAAAATTAAAAAAAAAAAAGAAAATATGGTTCAATATGCCCAAAGGGCTATACAATTGTGCATATCCTTTGACCAAGTAATACCACTACCAGGTCTGTATCCCAAAGAGATTTTTAAAAGGTTGGGGGGGGGGGGAAGAACCTATTTGTACAAAAATATTTATATCAGCTTTTTTTTTTTTGGTAGCAAAGAAATGGAAATTAAGGGGATATCTGTCAACTGAGGAATGGCTGAACAAGTTGTGTTATATTATTGTAATGGAATACTATTGTCCTATAAGAAATGACAAGCAGAGGAGGCGGAGCCAAGATAGTGGAATAAAAACAGGGACTCCCTTGAGCTCTCCCCCAAATCCCTCTAAATACCTGTAAAAATGACTCTAAACAAATTCTAGAGCAGCAGAACCCACAAAAAGATAGAGAGAAATGAATTTCCAGCCCAAGACAACCTGGAAGGTCAACAGGAAAGGTCTGTTACACCAGGCTGACAGAGGAGCTCAGCCCAGCACAAACTGCGCCAGCACAGACCAGGCCCCTGCAAAGGAGGAGCAGACCTCAAGGGAATGAATCGAAGCCGTGGTGATTTCCAGACTTCTCAACCCACAAATGCCAAAGACAACGTAAAAGGTCAGTAGAAAAGGTCTATTGGACCTGGGTGAAAGTGGAGCACAGTCCAGCTCTGGCCCCAGCACAGCCCTGGGGCGGCGGCCATGGCTGCTTACAGAGCTCTCAGCCACAGAAGGTAAAGGGATCAAACAACTGATTAGAAGGAGATTACAGGGGTCTCTTTGCTGGCACCGAGGCAGGATTCTGTAACTTTGCCCATACTTGGATCTGGGTGGCAGTTCTGGGGTAAGGAGGAGCACTAGCATAGCAAAGTTTGTGGCAACAATGGACAGGGAACTCTCCTCACAGTTTCAGGGCAGAAAAGAGTACTTGTGATCACTCACAGACCAGAGCACAGGTGAGCAGAGGAGTAAATACCTCTCCTTAGATCATACCATCTTGGAAGAACTGAAAACTTACAGCACCCTAGAGGTATCTCTGAAAACAGCTGCACAAAATCCCTGAAGTTTGGGACAGTACGCCCTCCACAGCAGAAGCAGAGACCTACCTTAACAAAGACCTACCTTAACAAAAAATGTCAAGTAATAGGCTGGGAAAATGAGCAAAGAGCAGAAAAAAACTTAGACTACAGTTTTGGTGACAAGAAAGATCAAAACATAGAACCAGAAGAAGACAACAAAGTCAAAGTTCCTACATCCAAAGCCTCCAAGAAAAACATGAATTGGTCTCAGGCCATGGAAGAGCTCAAAAAGGATTTTGAAAATCAAGTTAGAAAAGTAGAGGAAAAATTGGGAAGAGAAATGAGAGTGATGCCAGAAAATTATGAAAAATGAGTCAACAGCTTGCTAAAAGAGACCCAAATACCTTAAATAATAAATACCCAAATACCTTAAATAATACCTTAAAAAATAGACTAGACCAAATGACAAAAGAGGTCCAAAAAGCCAATTAGGAGAAGAATGCCTTAAAAAGCAGAATTGGCCAAATGGAAAAAGAAGTCCAAAAGCTCGCTGAAGAAAATAATTCCTTAAAATCAGAATGGAGCAAATGGAGGCTAATGATTCTATGAGAAATCAAGAAATCATGAAAGAAGACCAAAAGAATGAAAAAATAGAAGACAATGTGAAATATCTCATTGGAAAAACAACTGACCTGGAAAATAGATTCAGGAGAGATTGTTTAAAAATCATTGGACTACCTGAAAACCATGATCAAAAAAAGAGCCTAGACATCATCTTTCAAAAAATTACCAAGGAAAACTGCCCTGATATGCTAGAAGCAGAGGTAAAATAGAAATAGAAAGAATCCACCGATCACCTCCTGAAAGAGATCCCAGAAGGAAAACTCCCAGGAATATTATAGCCAAATTCCAGAGTTCCCAGGTCAAGGAGAAGATATTCCAAGTAGCCAGAAAGAAACAATTCAAGTATTGTGGAAACACAATCATGATAACATGAGATTTAGCAGCTTTTACATTAATGGACTGGAGGGCTTTGAATATGATATTCCA